GGTGTTCATCTTAACAATAAACTGGACTGGACTGATCACATAACAGCACTGTACAGGAAAGGCCAAAGCAGACTCTACCTGCTGAGGCGGCTCAGGTCTTTTGGAGTGCAGGGGGCGCTCCTGAAGACCTTCTTTGACACTGTGGTGGCATCAGCCATCTTTTACGGAGTGGTCTGCTGGGGCAGCAGTGTCTCGGCTGCAGATAGGAAGAGACTGGACAAGCTGATCAAGAAGGCCAGCTCTGTCCTGGGATGCTCTCTGGACTCTGTGCAGGTGGTGGGAGAAAGGAGGATGTCTCCACATCTCTGAGGACTAACGACTCCCATCCTCTGCAGGAGGAGATAAAAGCTCTGGAGAGCTCCTTCAGCGATAGACTGATTCACCCAAAGTGTGTGAAGGAACGCTATCACAGGTCCTTCCTGCCTGCTGCTGTCAGGCTACATAACCAGCACTGCTCACAGTAAACTGCACCATGGACACTTTAGGGACACTATGGACACTTTAGGGACACCATGGACACTTTAGGGACACCACAGCAGTCTGCTGTTTTTGCACATACAATCAATTGCATCTTATCCACTGGTCATTTTCATTCACTGCTGCTCCTTATTATCCACTTCCCATTATTATTTTTATTGTTATTGTTATTATTATTTATCGCCATCTCTTGTATTTTTGTACTTTTCTATTATTTTTTTTTTGTATTTTTCTACTATTTTTGCATGCCTAGTTATTTAAGTTTTTTAAGTTTAAATTGAAATCTTTAATCTGACTCTTTCCCCTTGACTGCTGTAACACTGGAATTTCTCAATTATGGGATCAATAAAGGTGTATCTTATCTTATCTTATTTTATCTTATCTTGTTTCTCCACACAAATTTATAGAGCATATTATCAATGGATCCAGCGGTCTGTTTATTCACAGCAAGAGACAAAGCTGCATAGGTCAAGCGGGAAATGCCATCTGCTTTAGTTAGTAAAATTCTGCCTCTAATTGACAAATCTTTCTGGAGCCATGAATTAAACTTTCTCTGTATTTTTCCTATAATGGGATTAAAGTTCAGGGAACATCTAGTACTCTGATTTTTGTTAACATCTATGCCGAGATAGGTAACAGAATCTTTAACAGGAATGCTAGAGATGGAGGAAACATTACAGTTCTTAAGTGCTAACAGCTCACACTTACTGACGTTTAAACAAAGCCCAGAGGCATTAGAAAACGTCTTAACTGTGTCGATGGCTACAGATACCTGGGAAGCGTCCTTTAAAAATAAAGTGGTATCATCAGCTAGCTGACTGATGATGATCTCTCTTTCAGCTATAGTGATACCTTTCAGTGGGCTGAGTTTAATAAAGTCTGAAAGTAACTGAGTACAAATCAGGAACAAGTACTGTGAGATCGGGCAGCCTTGTCTAACACCGTGCTTTAAATCAAATCTGGGAGAGGTGCCTGCATATAGTTTGATTGAACAGTTAGTATTTTTATACATAGTTTTAATGGCTGCACAAAAGTAAGAGCCAAAACCGAATTTTTCCAAGGCTTGAAACATAAAGGCGTGTTCGATGGTGTCAAAGGCTTTGCTGAAATCTAGAAACAAAATTAAACTATCATCATTGCAAAGATCAGCATAATTAATAAGGTCTAGCACAAGTCTGATGTTATTAGCTATATGTCTATGTCTCATAAAACCACTTTGGGTTTCATCAGTAATGTAGTCTAGAACAGTTTTTATTCTGATTGCAAAAATTTGAGCTAATATTTTGTAGTCATTGTTAAGAAGGCAAATTGGTCGCCAATTATCAATCAAAAGTGGATCTTTTTTATGCTTTGGAATTAAGGTTAAAAGACCTTGACACAGGGTGGGAGGAAGAGTTTGATTGTTAATGCTCTCTACAAACATACCATGAAGGAAGGGGGCTAGCTGCTCTGCAAAAGCAATGTAAAATTCGGATGTTAGGCCATCAACTCCAGGAGATTTATTGAGTTTTAGGTGTTTGATGGCAACAAGGACTTCATTAGGGGTTAAGGGGCTATCACACACATTTTTTTGGTCATCGCTGATTAATTTTGTCTCTGTGAGGTGTGCAAAAAAGATGTCCAAATCAGCTTTATGTGTGATTTATTAATGTTTGGACTTTTTGAATAACCATCTCATTTTCTAGAATAGAGTTGTTAAGTTTCCAATAAGAGCTTCTAGATGTGCGAGTAGTATTAGGGCTAAAAGAGACATTTAGTGACACAGCTCTATGGTCTGTTAGAGGAGTAGTTATTATATTAGCAGTAATGTTATTCTTATCTAAACGATCAGAAACTAACCAGTAGTTTATGCAGGACATTGAGGTGCAAGCCTTATTATTCCATGTATAGAGTTTAGTGTTAGGATTTTTTTCTCTCCATATATCTACCAGATGAAATTTTTGCATGAATGTAGTCAAATTAGAAGCAGACAAATTGTTACCACTTGGAGGCCATCTATCTAAGGAACCATTCAGAGCAATGTTGTAGTCGCCACCCACGAGGAGTGCAGCATTTGGGTAAACTGATAACCAGTGTAAAAACCTAGATTCTAAAGCATCAAATAAAAAATCATTTTCAGGTTTTGCGTTATATCCATACAAGTTGGTAAGAAGGATTATATTGTTGTTAACATTAAGGATTAATATAACATAGTGGCCGTCTGGGTCACTTTCTGTGTGTAAGATAACACCACTAAAGTTGTTTTTTAAGATAGTAACCCCTGCTGATCTTTTTGAGCCATGTGAGAACCACAGGTCATTTCCCCATTGAGTTTTCCAAAAAGAAGCATCATTTACCAGTGTATGTGACTCTTGAAAAAAACAAAAATCTGATTTCTGTGGTTTTGCAAACAAAAATAAAGCTTTACGCTTAACATTATCTCTTAAACCCCTAACCCATTTAGAGAAAAAACGGATACGGACAATGTAAGAAGTGTTGTGAACACAGTAAACAATTTACACTCCTTAATAAATGTTGAGTCGTTTTAACCAGGAACGATATGATAATATAAAAATATAGTAACAATATAGAAATATAATTTTACACTCTCAGGCACTAGTGCTTAGAATAACTTAGAGCAGTGTATGTGCATAAACAATCAACCAAGAGTAACAACACTATGAACTTAAATACTCAAGCACCGAAGCTGCAATAAGGCTACACTTATTAATAGTGTAAGTAGTGCACATAGAGGAGAGTAGGCCCTCTTTTTGGAACCACCACAGAGTCTGTCATCATCTCACTGTCAGACAGGCTTGTTGTTGCCGTGGGTAACAGTATGATGATGTATGTATATATATGTATGTATACGACATACGACATCCCTCTGTCCTTAGGACCCTCACAGCTGATCAGGAAAAACTCCCCAAAAACCCTTTAACAGGGGGAAATATATATATATACATATATATATATATATATGTATATATATTCTTTTTTTTCTGTCAGACGTTTTACTGAGTGTGATGTCCAAAGTAAAAACTTTATCACAACCCATCATTAATAAAAACGTTAATAATTAATAACATGCGGTCATAAACCTGACCGCTGTGTGGCAGCAGAGAAACATCCTGTAAGCGCTCCGCTGTGGACCGTTTGAGCCTCTCCGGACACCGTAGTTGAACAGGAAGTCCAGTTTGAAGACTTAGTGCGGGCTGGTGTTGTTGACAGTGCGGACACGGCTCATATTAAACACCTGATGAAGACATGGACTCTGAGCAGCTGTTCCTGGATCAGTTCAAACCCAGCGGAGACGCAGTCAGTAACTTCGATAGACGAACTTCCGTTTAAAATGTGTGGATTTAATAAAGTTTAGCGTCAGAGAGACAACAGACAGAGGACAGTGGGACACTGAAGGCGGCTCTGCAGTCTCTCATGTGTCCTGTTAACATCGGCTCACTTGTGACACACCGAGCTGTAAACTGCGCCGAGCTATAATAGTGTTTAACTACACTGATGACGTCAGTGATGTAATGACGTGCGGTGGTTCAGATTTACCTGTGACCGTGTCAACAGGTGACTCAGCTGGACGTGTCTGTGGTTCATCCAGGTAGAGGACACGAAGCTGTCCTCGAGATGTCTCTGTGTCCTGTTTTTCATTATGTCAAACACAGCTGACCTGATCTGTCTCCATGGACTCATGTCAGAGGACACCTGGACACAGGTGATTGGTGGAAAACAGCTGTTGTCACCATGACAACCACAGACACATTCAGCTGGAAGTCACCAGGTAAATCTGACACAGCGAGGTTAACAGGAGTATGTATGGTGTAGACAGGTAACCTCAGGTGACAGACTGATGATGTCAGCAGACTGATGATGTCAGCAGACTGATGATGTCAGCAGATATTCAGGCTCATCCTGTAACAGACATGGCGGCAGCGCTGTGTGTCAGACGTCAGGGTGGAGCCACACTGACCCTCTGTGTATCTAACCCTCTCTTCCTCCTGCAGGAGGCGCTCTGGTTAAAGGACATCTTCAGATTCATCACACTACACCTGGTTCCTGTCCTCTATGGCTCCGCCCCTCCTGCTGCTGACCACTTATCGACAGGTGAGTCAGCCAATCAGCTCATAGAGTGTTGTGGCAGTGAGAGGTTCTGGTACAGGTGTCGTCATCGGTCTGTTGTGTTCCGGCTGCAGGTGTGTGTGCTCATCAGCTGAGTGTGTGTGTGGTGAGGAAGATACAGGACAATATGGCCGTCACACACACCTTACCTGTCAGCTACAGGTATGACCATAATCATCATCATCATCATCAACAGAATAACTGTGGCTTTTATTTTGACCTCTGACCTCTTCCGACCTCATCACCAGGCTGGTGTCCGTCTCTGAGCTGTGCTCCCGGCAGCACCTGGCCTGTGTCAGTAACCTGTCCTTGAGCACCAATCAGCAGCGAGCATGGGTCAAGGAGGCGGAGCTTTCGCTGCCGGGTCACCAGGCTCTGCCACGAGTCAACCTGCTGCTGATTGGCTGTCTGAGAGAGGGGCGGGGCGGAGAGTGGAGGCTGATGGATGCCAGTGGCAGCGTCAGGTGTGAGGTGAGTGTGAGGGACACCTGAGGTGTGATGTCACACAGGTAAGTGATACTGATGATGAGTAAATACTGATTATAGATTTGCTCCTCCACTGTTTATTGAACGTCTGTCTGTCTGTCTGTCTGTCTGTGTCTCCAGTGCCTGTCTCCATCTCCTCTATGGATGAATTGTCCTGTCTTCCTCCCTCACTGGAACTACATCCCCCACAATGCCCCGGGGCAGGACCAGGACCAGGATGGGGGCGGAGGGTACATGGAGCTGATTGGTTCTCCCGTTCTGCTGTGTCCCGGTCCTGAGCAGGGATTGGCTGTTGGTCCTGGAGGAGGGGCGGGTCTTAGCAGAGCAGTCGGAGTCAGAGAGGCTCCTGGTTTACTGCACAACAGGTGAGTCACCTGTCACAGGTGACCTCTGACCTCTGTATGAGGACTGGAGGGAGGGAAGTATTGGGGAGCTGCACTGTGACTACCTGTCTCTGTCTCTGTCTGTCTCTTGTTATGACCCAGGCCTAGGGGCACCTGGGCCACACATGATAAAGTGCCCCCACTCTTCCCACTCCCAAGAAGGTCAGCCAGCTTCCATGTAGAAAGTTCAAAGTAGCAGTTTTATTTTTATAACTTCAGAGAGGAGCAATGCCAAAAATAACAAACAAAACAACTAAGTCCAGATCCCTACCTTACCTGTCAGAAAATAAATGTGGAAACAAAAGACAATCAAACTAACCTACCTCCCAACTGAAATAAACAGGAGAAAAGGGGATCAACAAAAATGGCTTCTCCCTCCTACTTTAAGGTTGCTACTGATTTGAACAAGATTATTTACAATATTACAATGCTTAAAATAAGCTGTTCTAATCACAGTCATAGGTAGCTTTAACACACAACTAAAGTTCAAGGTAACAGCTTCTGCAGGCAGATGCTCTAAATCAAAAATGCTACTGCAGCACACACAAGNTCTCTGTCTGTCTGTCTGTCTTTGACTGTCTCTGTCTGTCTGTCTGTCTTTGACTGTCTCTGTCTGTCTGTCTGTCTCTGTCTGTCTGTCTGTCTTTGTCTGTCTCTGTCTCTGACTGTCTCTGTCTGTCTGTCTCTCTCTGTCTCTGACTGTCTCTGCTTGTCTGTCTGTCTCTGACTGTCTCTGTCTGTCTGTCTGTCTTTGACTGTCTCTGTCTGTCTGTCTCTGTCTCTGACTGTCTCTGTCTGTCTGTCTGTCTCAGTTTCAGTTTTATTTTATTTATTTTTAGCATCATAGTATAAAATAACAATGACATAACACTGAACAGAATCCAGTCCAACAATGTACTATAGCCATATTGGACGCACAACACAATGATAAATAAGGTGCAGAAGCATAGCAGCACAGACAGTACATATCATGAGTAACATAGTAGCAGTAATATAGTTGCACAGATAGCAGCAAGCACAACAATTCACAAGAGTCATGCAGAAGCACACAATAGCAGAAGAAAGGCAAGCAGCACATAATCAGCCATGCAAATCAGAAGATGTACAGAGAAAGAAAGTTAGATGCAGAGCTAGACATGGCCGGCGACAAAGACACAGTAAGACTCCATTGGGATGACAATACATACCAAGCTGTATATCTAGTGGCCTATTAATAGATAAAAAACATTCAACAAATTAACAACATGTTAAAACTAGTGAAAAAAAGGTCATACACTTGTTACAGATGCTCACATATTTGGTTTTTTAAACACCATGCCTTAAGATTTTTTGTAAATGTATGATGCGTGGCACAGTTTCTGATGTCAGTTGGAAGTGTGTTCCAGAAATGTGCAGCTCTAACAGAGAAGCAAGATTGGCTAAAAGAACTGGACCTGAAAGGCACACTGCATTCCCCTCGCTCACTTGATCTTGTGGATCTCAGGCCAGATGTTTTTTGTTTAATAAAGGCATTGAGAGGTGGGGGGGCAGTCCATGCAAGATCTTAAATATTAGACAGGCATCTGAGTAGTTTGTCAGGTTCTCAAAGCTGAGAAGGTTATATTTCTGGAGAATATTGCAATGGTGATAGGTATTTGGTTTTCTGTCTAGCACTTTGAGAGTCTGCTTGTAAAGGGAGAGAATGGGCTTCAGTGTTGTGCCCTTTGCATGTGTCCAGCTTGTCATGCAGTAAGTTAAATGAGAAATTATCATTGCGTTCATAAAAAGAAGTGCAGCCGTGGGTGTTAGACAGTTCCTCATGTATCTAAAATTGGATAGGTTATACTTGACTGACCGCATTACTTTATTTACCTGTGTTTTGAAGGATAGATTTGGGTCAAGAATAACACCAAGATATTTAAATTCAGTTAGTATTTCAATAGACTCTCCAGCTATAATAATTTCATGATTATTAGCTGGTGTCAAGTTTGATTTTGTGAAGTACATACCAACTGTTTTCTTCACATTAAGAACCAGTTGTGAGTCATTGAGCCAGGCATTGACATTTTCCATAACTGCATTCAGTTTAGCAGCTGCCAGTTCTTTGGGTTTTCCATGCGCATAAATGACCATGTCATCTGCGTACATCTGAATCTCGCACCCTTTGCAGACTGAAGGAAGGTCATTTATGAATAGGCTGAACAGAAGAGGGCCTAAGATGGATCCCTGGGGAACACCCATTCCATTGCTAAGGAAGGGTGATGTCTCGCTGCCAACCTTTACACACTGGACTCTATCACTAAGATAGGACTTCATCCAATTCAGTGCACCCGGGGAGAAGTTGTAGTTTGTGAGTTTGCGGAGGAGTATCTGATGGTTTACGGTGTCAAATGCCTTCTTAAAATCCAAGAATACAGCACCAACAGTTCCTCCTTTGTCCAGTTTGTGTTTGATGTTCTCTAAAAAGAAGCAGTTTGCCGTCTCGGTGGAGTGGTTGGTCCGAAAGCCAAACTGCATTGGGTCCAGAGTGTACGGGCTACAATTAAGGTGGGAGATTAGCTGTTCCTCAACACATTTTTCTGCAATTTTGGATATAGTGGGCAAGATGCTGACTGGCCTATAATTGCTCACCACGGTTGGGTCTCCTGTTTTAAAAATTGGTACAACAATGGCTGACTTCCAGTCATTGGGATATTTAGCTTCATTAATAGAGGCATTAACTATTTTTGTTAATGGGTCAGTGAGTGAATCTGCGTTCCTTTTTAGAAAAAGCGAGTCCAGTCCAAATATATCTTTGGATTTAGAATTTTTCAGGGTGGTCATAAATTTATTTATTTCAGATTTAGTGACTTCCACCAGGGAGAAGACTGGCTGGGTCTTATCTACTGGAGGTGGGACAAGTGGTCTTGTTTGACCGATGGGCACTGTCGCCTTAACAGAGTTAACAAAATATGTGTTGAAGAAAGTTGCGGTTTGTACTGGGCTTTTAATAAAGCAGCCATTATTTTTAATTTCTGGTTGTTTTTTTGTGCTTTGCCAGTTCCCAGATAGCCTTTTCAGGTTGTCCCAAATTTGTTTTGGGTTTCCCTTAGCTTCCCTCAGCATGTTAACAAAGAAGGTTGCTTTAGCAGCTCGAATATCTCTTGTAACCTTGTTTCTCAGAGAGGTGAAGATATGCCCATCTGTCACCAGTTTAGTCTCTGTCTCTGTCTGTCTTTGTCTCCCAGGACTCGTGGACAGCGTGTCTCAGTCTATGGACAGGTGGCTTCAGTCTGTCCTCTGCTGGATGTAGCAGGAACAACCTTCTTCTGCTTCTCGCTGACGGACGACGTCCACACTCTTCCTGTCCTCGTCAAGGTGAATGATGTCACTTCCTGAGAAGTTAAACACAGTGACAGTCTAATACCTGAGAGTCAAACTGAGGTCTCTGTGTCTCTGTCTCTCTGTAGGACAGCAGCAGGCTGTGGTGGACTCAGTGTATGTGTGTTGGTCAGAGTGTGTGTGTGACGGCACTGCGTGTGTGTGTCCTACGAGGCTGGAGAGGAAACAACGTCCTGTGTGTGACAGACCATTCTGAAATACACACAAACTACACACACACTCCTGCAGACGACACACACACTGACTCACCCACAGACACGCCCCCTCCGCTGATGATGTCACACATCAACGATGATGACTGTGAAGAGGCAGAAGCTGACAGAGACGTCGTCCAATCAGCTGTCAGGATGAAAAAGTCCAGAGTCATCAGTTACCAGGTGAAGTACATAAAAACACTGAGCTCTGATTGGCTGTAAAAATGTTACCTGTGCTGTAAGCCCCACCTCTCTCCTCTGACAGGGTACTGTGACTGAGGTGGTGAGTGAGGGGGCGGGGCTGTACGTCATTGACAGGAAGGTGGGACTGTGCCTGGCCTATCAGCCGACTCTGAGGAGGAAACTGAGAGCAGGAGACTCTGTGGAGGTGAGTCACAGTACAGGTGTGAGTCACAGTACAGGTGAGTCACAGTACAGGTATGAGTCACAGTACAGGTGAGTCAGAGTACAGGTGTGAGTTACAGTACAGGTGTGAGTCACAGTACAGGTGAGTTACAGTACAGGTGAGTCACAGTACAGGTGTGAGTCACAGTACAGGTGAGTTACAGTACAGGTGAGTCACAGTACAGGTGTGAGTCACAGTACAGATGAGTCACAGTACAGGTGTGAGTCACAGTACAGGTGAGTCACAGTACAGGTGTGAGTCACAGTACAGGTGAGT